GCGAATTATCACTGCTGATGGACATAATTGGCGCAACTCTTGTGAGTCATTTGACCTTCTCGCCGATAGATGGCATAGTACCGTCTGCAGAGACAGCGGACACAGGAAGAAAGTTACATATCGTAAGACAATGCAAATGAGTCATTTAACTCTTTAACCCTTTGATGTTGAAGCTCAGCACAATAATATTTGTAAGATTCAGTCCTTTTCGCAACACAAGTAAATCTTAAGAAACACAACACACGCCTCCTTTAAGAGGATCAGTTCATTAATGGTATTCAAGGAAATAAACGCTGGTTACCCTGAGAATCATACGAAACCCACAAATAAACTTTGTGGGCAAAATGTAATTTTTTCTGTTAAAGGTAATATATATAACTGTCGCGTCGTTTTAAAGTGTTAAACGTTAGTGTTAATTTCTGAATATCTGTTTGTGATGCATTCTGCGGTTTGGTATTCCACGTTCAAGTTCTAGAAGTTTCAGACTGTATGAGTGAACGCTTACCGATATTTCTTTTGTTAATGGAATACCGGCGACAAGATCAGATGCTACCGAAAATGTCAAGATCGTGACTGGGTCTACTGGGTGTGGCCACTTGGTGAAGCACTGGAGGCTTCAAATTTGTATATCTAGCTTTCATAAGCCATTCTGTCACACGTTCTAAATCCGCTAAGCTTCTCTGTGTAGCAGTAATCAATCCAGACGATTGAGTACAATCCAATACAAAAGTACCTCTTTACAACGGTCAAACCGAGCGAGATGGGACAGAAATGGCGCATTTACCTTGCATTCGAGAGGCGTCTGGTTCGAAACCGAACCGCCTACCGGTCGATTTATACTTATGCGGCCTTCCCTTATGTCGCGTCGAATGAGCTGTGTTAAGATGATTATGAATCATTACTTGCTAATGATTCAGAACAAATTGTCTCTGGCTTCCCTCAGTCTGTCCGGCAATTGCCGGTATAATACGATGAAATCAGCTGTAGCCGAATCCTTCTCAGACCCTTCCCTCTCAACCGATCATTCGACTCCAAATAACATCTAAAACTGAGCCAGCATCGTTGAAAAATCTACCAGCCCTCCGAAACGAAGGGACGTTTAAACACTGATCGATAAGAGAACTTTGACGCTCCAGTTCAGAAGCCCGGAAAATTGGAAGAAGGGAGAGAAGAAACTAAGAAAGAATTAGCGAGAAGAAAATGGGGTTGAATAAGAGGAAATGAGCGTAGAATAGAGAAGGAAGGAACTGAAAACCAATTTTGTTGTGTTTTCTTTTCTGTTAGCTTTGTTTTTTTATGAATGAGCATTAACTCGGTTGGAAATCTAGCACGACTTTTGGTTGTTCCTGGAGTCTTGGCTGAGCTAGAACGTCACGGGGTGTGGGTGATCTGAGGCTGAAAATCCACATCATATGCACGTGTGAGAGAATTGTGTTATTTCTCCTTTCTTATGCTGGTAAGGTTTATCGTGTTGTTTAGGCTACGCTAGCTGTCATACGTCAGTTCTGAAAACATTGACTTGTGAGGAAAATGGTTCTTTTTATGGTTTTGAAGGAATTCCTGTTAGCTGGCTACATATGGCCTTTTTGTCTGCCTACAACCCCATCTCTGATTCAAAGAAATAACGTCACTATTAGACACACTAACTGGTCAGTTTTCTTAAAGCACGTGATGTCATTCTGTTGTGGGAACTACCAACATAACGGACTTCAGAAAATGTAAAATTGTTGGAACACTCACTGATAACGATAGGGTCAGAAATGTTGTGTGGTAGAAAGGTCTGTGAATTTTATGGTGTACTTCCGTCTTGAAAGAAATGTTTGTTTTTGAAAAGCAAAATAACATGGTGAAAACGCGAGCTATTTTGGTGTGGAAACAGTTGAATCGTTGTTACTTACATCGTGAAATTCAAATTTTGTCATGTTGTCATCACAGTAATACGAGTGGTGTTAGATCCTACTAGATCTAAGCATTTGGAATTCTAAAGCGCACCTCTTTGATGCACAGAGGTTTGAATTATAATTTACGAATGGAAATTTTGCGTCGAGGTTAACGGCTGATAAGTAATAAACTATTTATTTACGGAAGTAAATTATCATAAAATCTGTTGACGTCATGTAAGCCTGTACTCGAGCCATCTTTGCCCACTGGACAATACGAAACGAGTTCTGACAAACCTATCACTGTAGCATGTCGTCACGGATCGACTCCTGAAGAGTTTTTGTTTATGTTTTACGTAGTCCGAACTGTTCTGCCCTCCTACCTCACCTACAGACAGGCGAATTTAACTCAATTGCAGAGGGCGTTCATAAATTAAATTGTGAACACAGTAGATTCCGGTTTATTGGGCCATCTGTCAATCGTGGCAACCGTTTATTTGGGACAAATCTTAAAGAACAAACCTTTTTATCTCTTTACGTAGAACTTCGTATAATTAGGGCAGCCGCTTAATTGTGGTCGACATTGACTGTCATGCGGCTTACGGTTCGCGCCGTGTTGTAGGAATGCAGCGGGTTCGAATCCCTGTCGAGGGATGGATTTTGCTGTTACTTTTCATTTCTTGTCCTGTTTCCATGGAGTTTTCTTGCGATCTGATCCGCTGTCGAAGACTTGGGCGTAGATGGGATGATAACATTAAAACGGGTGGCAGGGAAATAGGATTTGGGGTTATATATTGAATTCATGTAGCAAATGAAAGGTTCTTATGAACACAGTAGTGAAACTTCTGGTTCCACAAAAGTTGAATTTCATAACTAGCTGAGTGTACTACTATTGCCTTCTCAAGAAATACTCTTCTTCGTGGAGTTGTTTGTTTGGTTACTGGTCGATTTGCTTCTCCGCCATCCGAGGGATCGTGGCTGTCATAAAAATAAACATCGCATACGTGATAAGAGGACGTCTGAGCCAAAACAAGGTCATGGAAGAAAATTAGTTTTGTTTTGCAAAAACGTGTTTTCTTCAATCTGATTGAATGTCACAGACAATGAGGCCTATTATTTGATGACAGAGCTACACGAAAAACGTGTGGAACCTAGTGATTATTTTTTGTTTTGTGCAATTTAGGATGTTACGCATTTTAATGTAGGTCTATGTCCAGACCTGGGTACGTCGTTTCGGAACGTCAGCCTCGTTGCATCATTGGTAATTTGCCCCACAGCAGTTTCAGAACAAAGTATTTACATGCCTTTCAGACGAATGAACAGTAGGATTTGAGGTTTTCACGGCGGTGAGTTTGAAGATGGCTGTCTCCTGTATTATAGCTCCCTGTAGTTTGGTAGAAGTTTACCGACGTATCAGAGGTCCTTGTTACCTACATCGTCAGAGCGAATTACATTTTATGATAAAGGAAATGCAAGTATGGCGTGTAGCCTCTAGCTTCCAGGCGTCAAATCCGTTCAGTTTATTTAGTTTAAGTATGTTTTGTTTGTGTCACTATTTTGTAGTCAATTTTTGCGCCAGTGAAAGTAGTTCTCCTTTGCTAAGCAACTGAAGTACAGCTTCTCTAATATTTAACAGTAGATCCAGTTTATGTTCAAGAGAAAGCTAAATAATTGCCATCCAACTACAGCGAAATTTTCAAATCAGCAAGTGAGCTATTTTGAAATCCGTATAGACGGACAATGGAGCATCAAAATGCGATGTTTCCGAGCCAGAAGGACATCGTAAACAAACAAGAGTCTCTTAGGCCTGTTTCCAATGCAAAGACACGGAGACATTACGTTGTCAGACACTACGTGATAGACCAGGTCTTGTAAAACACTTTGTGTTCAGTCACAATGCAAATACAAGACCAATTGCCCATTGTGACAGGCTAGGCACTTTCATTCAATACTACACGACAAGTGATCAGAGAGAAAATTTGATTTCGAATGCATAAGGTGTTACATTACCTGCTCTCTCGCCCCCGCAATCTGATCTTGCAGCTCCGACTTCTATCCTTAGCGACACTTCTTCCAATCCTGTTACCTTAGACCATAGTTTGACACATATTAAAGAAGATTTTCGGAAATAAGTTCCATAATATATCTTTCTTGAACCGATAAATATTTTCATATGTATAAATTGTTTGTTATTGAATTTGTGCCGGAATAGAAATTTATCTGCAAGTCGTAAAATGGGCCATAAATATCGAAACTCTAGCCTGTCGAGTAGATTATCATTTTAACGCGAAAGAAATGTACATAATATGAGCGTGCGATTGCATATCTAGATTGGAAATGTCTGAATAAGTAAGGTTCTTAAGTGATGCCAATGAAACTAACTCAGTCTTTCTTGAAACGCTGATGTTCACTAAGCTGGCAAATAAAATCCCCACCTTCTATGGAACCGGGATGTTCATTGCCGTGTTCACAACGAGACCGCCGAAAGGCCCGATGCTGAGGGCGATGACCCGAGCTTCACGCCCTGTTCTTTAAGACTCTCTTAAATATTGTTTACTTTCACCCATTTCGGCTATCCTGTTAACGGCGTGTCTGCATTTCACAACATTCTCATGCGTGCTACATGCCCTTGACTTCTCGTCCTTGATTTAATAAATCTTGCATTGTTTAGTAAAAGGTAAATTTTCTTTTTGTGGTTTATACGGCTCTGCCATTAAATCAGACACTTTGCTTCTAGTGAGCGGGTGATTCATGAGTAATGGATTGGAACGGATCCATAAGGAATCGGAATAGGCCAAATTTAAGGTACTGTCCCGAAATTTGCCTGAAGAAAACCCGGAAAAACATCAGTTATGATAGAGCCGAGGTTTAAACCCCGGACCTCTTGAAAGGAGGTGGGATTGCGAACCACTAGGCCACGACGCTAGATACGAAACTTCGAAATTGTTATGATCCTTATTATGAAATTCTCTCCGTCTTTGTGTTTTGATAGTTCCTCTGTTTTAGATTCTAGTGTTCCCCTCGATGTTATGTCTCTGTTAAATGGAAAATCAAACATCATTCATGCACTTGCTATTTGATCCGACACGAAAATAAAGTTCACATTTTTTTTATTTTCAGGTTCCTAAAATGGCGCCTGTGTTCTCTCAGTGTTCAGTTCAGACCTGCGGATATTATGTCGGGGAATTCAAGGTAAGATGACGTGCCACGAATTTATAATTATGCTTTTAGTAGGTTATTTAATGACACAATATAAGCTTATATCCATCGTCTGAGTTTCTGACAATTTTCCACTGATTTTTAATCTTGTCCTCAAAATAAATATAAAAGCCATTCATGAACAGAAGGAAAAGATGGATAATTAAAGAAAGGAAAGAAGAAGTGTAGAGAAGGCAGTACTACTACCTCAACGACGACTTTATCTTGAGTAGATCGAAATTGTCACTCGTTCTTGTACCCAGCAGCCGAGGACCTTTCGGTTCAGAATAACCATGTGCAGCGATTTCCAGAAATAAAAAATCAAAAGTAATGTATTTAAAGTTGAAAAATACCCCTGATATTTTTGTATGATGAAAACTGTTACGGCAAATGTCTGAAGATTAATCCTTATGGACAAGCTACATTTTTTATATTTCAAATGCAGCTACTGAAGTTCTTTTCAGATTACGAGTAGGACCGTGGAAACCATTTTGCTCACTAGGAGACAGCCATCTGCATTTTGCTTATGTCTACGACATAACAAATTTTTAATTTACAAATTGGAAACTTTTTTTAGTTAACGATAACTTGCAATTTATTGTGGCCATGGAATATTTATTTTACAGAAACATCGCTATTGTGAATTTTGATTCCTATGATCATCTGATGTTGACATAGCATTGTTTAGAAGGTGAAGAGTCAACAGTGAACCTCCTAAGTGATTCATGTGACCTTAGTATTCATCTGTCACTATCATGTGGTAATGGTGGGCGGGGATCAGTGTCTCTCAGAGAATGCAATACGTATGGTAATATTAATGCAGGAAATTTTTATTGTTTGTTTTTGTGGTCGTTGAGTTGGTTAGAAAAAACAGTTTTTTTTGGTTAATAGCTTGATGTTTGAATTATCGGCCCGTTTTCGTCTGCATCTTGATAAAAAAATTATGTTTTAGTTTTGCCATGTCCTCTCCCCAAATAAACATCAACCAAACTATCGATCTGATTTGGATGAAACATTAAGTTTTGTCGACCATTTTATTATGTTTAATATGGCTTGCTTTAATTAAGGGCCTAAATGAATTCTTGCCCTCGTCTCGTCTAACCGCGTGTTGATTATAGTCTTGTGTGTTATGAACCCATCTTTCGGTGGTTAACAGCGCTTCTAATTTCGAGGTATTTAAGTCTATAAATTCGTTTCTTATCTCAAAGGAGGTAACTCGCATCAGACACAAATACCGTTTCTGTTTCTTAAGAAAAGCAAATATCCAGTGATTAATGACATTGCAAATGGCGCATTTAGCCCTTGTTGTCAGCTATACATATATACATATCACATTTCATGCTGCGTAGAACTCAGTCTTTCACACACTCAGAATGCGTAGTCAGCTGCACTAATAGCAACAGCAGCAATTCTGAGCTGATAAATGAAATCACTTTTGGGGTCTATTGACATCATCTACGGAATCCACGGCTAAATGTGTGTAA